CACATCCTTGGCAAGGACGAACGGTTCGTCTTTGTACCCAATATTGTTGAGGTCCACGGTTGTCATTCCATACTGGTTGTCGACTGCTACCCCGCCTCCAGTCACCTTTACCCATTGGCACTTGAACAAAGGTACCTTAAAAGTAGGTGCATAGTTTAGTTCCCATATCTTCTCTATGTGGCCATAATATGTTTGCTTATTTCCATTAGGGTAGGTGGCATCTATGCGGACACCACTGTTTTGGTTGGTTCTCCTTTTATCTTGGGCTACTGTGTAAAATATATTTCCATTTATCTCATACGCTTTGTATGTGAGGATATGCCACGATGGCTGCCTAGTCAACAAATACAGTTGATCATCAATACTCTCATCACCCTAACATTCTTTTTGCAACCAGTCGCTGAAAGTTTCCATGTGCTGACGCGTAATCTAAGCTTCAGACTTCCCTGGAAACTCGGATCGGAGCAACTCTTTATGTGTCTCGATATACGGATCCACCAAGGAGGAGTTTTGCAGAACTGTGTAGTGTGCTTTATTAAAATAATTGTTCTACGTACCAATATATGTTTTCTTCCCTAGTGTCCCCTTTCCACTTAGTCTCCCCTCGTGTCGTGATTCAGGAACACCAATCGGGTCAAGGTCAGGAATAAAGTCAACACAAAACTCAATGACCTCCTCTATTCCATAGCTCTTGGCGATGCTTCCTTCTGGCCGAGCACGGTTGTGAACATATTTCTTTAGGACTCCCATGAACCTCTCAAAGGGGAACATGTTGTGCAGGAACACAGGACCGAGAATGCTAATCTCCTTGACCAGGTGAACTAGGAGGTGTGTCATGATATTAAAGAAGGAAGGAGTGAACACCAACTCAAAGCTGACAAGACATTGAACCACATCATTCTATAGTTTAGCTAGATCTATTGGATTGATTGCCTTCTAAGAAATTGCATTGAGGAATGCACATAGCTTCACGGTGGCTAGACGTACATTTGGAGGTAGAATTCCTCTTAATGCAACTAGAAGCAATTGCGTCATGAGCACGTGGCAGTCATGGGACTTTAAGTTTAGGAATTTCTTCTCTGGCGCATTTATTATACCCTTTATATTCGAGGAGAATCCAGATGGTACCTTGATGCTTGCTAGGCATTCAAACATGCTTTCCTTCTCTTCTTTGCTAAGAGTGTAGCTGGCAGGACTTAAGTAATGGCGTCCATCATCTGTCTTCTCTGGATGTAGGTTGTCTCGTTCTTTCAAACATCGCAGGTCCTGTCGTGCTTCAAGTGTGTCCTTAGGCTTCCCGTACATACCCATGAAGCCTAGCAGGTTCACACAAAGATTCTTCGTCAGGTGCATCACGTCGATCGCGCTACGGACCTCTAGGACTTGCCAATAGGGTAGCTCCCAAAAATATGGACTTCTTCTTCCACATGGGTGTGTGACCATCGACGTTGTTCGGAACAGGTTCGCTGCCATGTGCCTTTCCAAATACTACTTTCACATCCTTGACCATATTGAGTACATCCTCACCAGTTCGGTTGCTCGGCTTGGTCTGGTGGTCTGCCTTACCCTTAAAATGCTTGCCTTTCTTTCTTAGGGGGTGATTCACAGGAAGAAATCAACGATGGCCAAGGTACACGACCTTTTGACATTTTTTCAAGAATATACCTTTAATGTCATCGAAACAGTGCGTGCATGCATTATATCCCTTGTTTGATTGTCTTGAAAGATTACTTAGAGCAGGTCAATCATTGATTGTTATGAACAACAATGCTCGTAGGTCAAAGTGCTCCTGTTTGTGCTCATCCCACACACGTACACCTGATCTGTTCCACAAAAGTAGAAGTTCTTCAACTAGTGGCCTCAGGTACGCAACGATGTCGTTGCTAGGTTGCCTTGGGCCTTGGATGAGCACTGGCATCATAATAAAATTACGCTTCATGCATAACCAGGGAGGAAGGTTGTAGATACATAGAGTAACAGGCCAAGTGCTATGACTACTGCTCTTCTCCCCGAAAGGATTCATGCCATCCATACTTAAAGCAAACCTTAAGTTTCTTGCGTCATTTGCAAACTCCGGGAATTCTCTATCGATTGCTCTCCACTGGGACCCATCAGCAGGGTGTCTCAACATATTGTCTACCTTACGGTTTTCTTTGTGCCATCGCAATAACTTTGCATGGTCTTTGTTTTTAAACAGACGTTTCAAGCGTGGTATTATAGGAGCATACCACATAATCTTGGCAGGGATTTTCTTCGTGGGACGTTCTTCCTCAACATCACTAGGGTCATCTTGCCTGATCTTATACCGCGATGCATGACATACCGGGCATGCATCTAACTTCTCATATTCCTCGCCACAGTAGAGGATGCAGTCATTAGGACATGCATGTATCTTTTGGATTTCTAATCCCAAAGGGAAGACTACCTGTTTTGCTTCGTACATAATGACGGGCAATTTGTTATCCTTCGAAAGCATCTTCTTTTGGATTTTCAGTAACTCCCCAAATCTCTTGTCACATACACCATTCTTTGTCTTCCATTGCAGCAATTTCAGTGTGGTACCCAACTTTTTCTGTCCCGCATCACAAGTTGGGTATAGCAATTTCTTGTGATCCTCTAGCATACGCTCGAACTTGATCTTCTCCTTTTCACTTTCGCATTCTCTTGGTGCGTCACGAATGGCCTAACCAAGATCATCAGTGGGCTCATCTTCTGCCACTACCTCTTCTTCAGCTTCCCCCATTGCAGTATCATTGAAGGCACCATATTCAGCAATAATGTTATCATCGTCCCATTGTTCTTCTTCACCTTCTTCCATTACAACCTTGGTTTCTCCGTGCTTCGTCCAACAAATATAGTTTGGCATGAAACCCGACTTCAACAAGTGTGAATGAAGACTCTTTGAGCTAGCATATTCCTTCAAATTCTTACATATGGCACATGGGCAGCACATAAAACCATCACGTTTGTTTGCCTCGGCCACATGTAAGAAAGAATGCACGCCCTCAATGAACTCTTGGGAGTGGCGATCAGCATTGTACATCCAATGCCGGCTCATCTGCATTACATGATATACATACCATATTAAAACATAGAACATAATTAGTTAGTTATACGACATGCATGCCACCACAGAAGGTATTAATTTATGAAAGTCTCGCTACAATGTAGACAATCTCAACTACCACTAAAAAAACTAAAGCTAAAATGCACTTCAGCAGCATAAGGATTTCGCGACCAATCCCAACTAAAACAGACAGATCATGCGTTTGTTCAACATCTATGGGCTTCTTCCGCAGAATCACTGCCTCATTAGCCGCCGTAGCCGCCTATGCAAGAGAGTTTTGCACGTGTTCAACATACTCTTCCTCCCAGTACCAGCCTGAACATACAGTGCCATCCTACTGAAATTAAAACAAAAAATTAGAACTTTAATCACAATCATCATGAAAATAAGTATAAATTAACCATAATCATCAAATGCGACAAAATAACTCACATTGCGATCCGGACACTTGTAGAAGATACGGCCCTTGTTGGAACACTCCTTCCTCACCCGGTACTCCATCACAATCTTCTCCTCACACTTGCCGCATGCAATGAGAGGGAGGTCCGGCCTCAGTCGCTTTGGAACCCGATGAGAGGCCGAGGACCCGGAAGCAGTTGACATCTACTCTCTATACTCATTTTTAATATAATATAAATTTCTCATTTTATAAACAAATAAAATTAAAAAACTCTAAAATTCTCTATATCTCTAAACCATGAAGTATGCTATGCATGCTAAAAATGAAAGCTGAATACTAGTTTTGAATAACTACTTTAACCTTCCTTCATCTAAATATGCAAACTTTAAAGTGATTTTGAGCTTAAATGGCTTACAGATAAAAAAAATCCACCATAAAAAACCACATATATCTAGTCCACAAAATGAGATATGCTACTGATGAAATATGAGAGTATAAAGTTGGTAACCTTTAGAACCGAATAATCGATGGAGGAATCGAAGAAATCTTGTGATTACCGGCGATGAGGAAGAAGAGAGGCCGGCGATGAAGCAAGAACATTGAGCTCGAAGTGGCTCGGGCTCGAGGAGGAAGAAGGGCTATATAGGAGGGGACCTTTAGTCTCGGTTGGAGACAGAAACCGGGACTAAATGTCTCTTTCTAGTTCCGAACAGAGCCTTCAACCGGGAGTAGACTTTTACTTCTGGTTGGAGGTACCAACTGGGAGTAAAAGTTAACCTTTAGTCCTGGTTGGTAGATCCAACCGGGACTAAAGGTCCCTGCAGCAAAAGCCTGCCGCAGTAGCCGTTGGGCAGAGACCTTTAATCCTGATTGGAGCTACAAACCGGGACTAAAGGTATCTCTAGTCCCGGGCGCGAAAAATATCAGGACTAAAGCCAAATTTCGAGCTGGATCAAAGGTCATTTCTCTACTAGTGTTTGTAGGAACTGACAATGATAGCTGACCCTCATCACTGTCGGTATGGTTGTACCGGTTCAAAATCAAACAGTGATGGGGTGTCTTGAACCGGTAGTGAAGTGCTATTCTGACATAGTACACGCAGCCCAAGTCCTAATTACTATTAGTAGCCCAGGTACCTGACATCACCGTATCCAATTTTTTCCACATACTCTTTTATACTTGTCTAAAATAAAAGCATGAAAAGGTACAAAACACGTCACACTTTTGTATAAGTACAAAAAGAAAGAAATATGCATGTTTATCAACACGAACACAAATTATACTGTGATATATGAGTACTTTCATGCATGCTGTAAACTCATGTCTTTCCGGCTTCCCGGTAGCAATACATGGATATACATTTCATAGTATCCTTATAAAAAATTCTAAAACCTAAAGTATAACTTAATGAGTACGTAGCACTCGCAAGGACGTACAAAAAGAAATCGTGAAATACACATCGTGAAGGCGACAAGTTGGTTGATTTTCTGTTTCGCAGCAAATCTCGTGGGGAAGAAAGACCTTGTAACGTAATCACACGACCTGGACCATAGCCACGGAGACCAGCATCAGTAATAGCAGCTGCAGAAGACTTGGGGACGAAACGGAGCCTGCGATGCAAATGCGCAGCAATGGCAGCAAAGAATCAGGTACTCGCGTCATCAACAATGCACACGTACGTACGTCTGTAGTTTGAGTGCACGACTCGGTGCTGTGCACCCCATCGCGCGCCAAGAAGGTCCGAATAATTAATTCAAAAAAAAAACAAGCTGAACCTAGTGAATCGTCAGTTGCATTGGCTTTTGTGCCGGAGGGAGGAGCAGATGGCCCCGGTGGCGACGGGCCGTGATCACCGGATGGAGCTGGAGCCGGCGCCGGGGGGCCGAGTCCCAGGGCGTAGCACTCGTCGCCGAGGAAACCTGCGCGGGAGAAGCACCGGCAGGCAAAGCAAAATATATATAAGTTGAAGAGAATAAGCTAATACTACTAGTTACTCAGGCTACTCGGGTCATCATACAGTTGACGCAAGGGAGCGTGGTGAGGTTGAGCAGGTTGGCGTAGCCCGGCCGGCACTCGCAGCTGTAGCTGAAGCTGAACGGGGCGCCGCCTGCTTTGCACGCGCCGCCGGCTCCGCAGCTCACGACGGAACAGACTGCACGCGCCCGCGCACCCAACACGATAGAGAGCAGCGCAATATAAGATGATGATGGCTCATGCTCGATCCTGGGGCACGGGAACAGGAGACGACGGAATGAGAGGGGCAGCTACATAGCTTACGCTCCGGTATGCCCTTGGGTGGCACCCTGCGTGGCGGCCGCCGCCGAGCAGCGCCAGGACCAGGGGCAGCAGCAGGAGCCGCGCGGCCTCTGACGCCGTCGCCGCCGCAGAACCTATCGCTGGCTCACGCATCTTCTACGTTCGCTGCGCTGTGGACTCGTCCCAAGGAGGCGGCGGCCGGCTGGGACAAGTTAAATGTTCGCCATCCATCGCTAGCCTCGGTCCTCGGATGCAACGAAAGCGGCCGGACCATTGCTAGGTGAGGTCGGAGCTCGCAAGGCAGCGCCACGGCCACGCGGGTTTGCCTTTGTTTCCTCTTCTCCATACACCGGCCGGCGCCGTCCTACGTTTTATCACCCTGACCTCGACTGTAGTTTGTTTCTTCGTAAGAAACCAAACCAATCGTAATACGCGGGTGTTTGAGCCTTCTGTTTTGGACCCACGCCCGAGGGAAATGGTCCACAGATCGATAGCCGAGCCCCCAAGACTCCCGATCTACAAGGACACTCCGGTTTGGCCCTTGGCTCCTGCCCGGCAAATGACGCCAACCAAGGCTCGAGCATAAGAAGACAAACCCCGAGCTACCGAGGATCGGGGGCTCCCCGGCGCTGCCCCATGGGCACGGCATTGCCGCCAACTTTCTTTACAAGGTCATGAACCAGACGTGACACAAGAAGACAAAGCTTCCCAGCGGCCTCTATAGGCTCAGGGGCTCCTGGGTCCGCGCGTCAGCCACTGGAGCCGACCTCCTTCACTACCAAGAAGACTCCAGAAGGTCCACCTGGGGGAGGCCAGTCCAAGCTGACACAGCCTGACACGCAGAGTGTCAAACACAGAGCAGTCGGATGACACCCAAGGCTTCTTCGGTTCCACGACACCGCCACGGTCCACAGCGCGTCGCTGCAAGGCCTTCCAGGACTCTGGCACATGTAGACCGTAGACTAGTTCCCCTAAACTGTCATGTATGCGACCTATCTCGTTATATAAAGGATAAGGTCGAACCTAGGAGGGGGGACAATCACCAGAACTCATATCATTCCATTCCATTCTATTCCTTGGCCTCTGCTTAGCACCGAGAGCAAGGCAACCCACAGAGGGGCACCGAGAGCTCCTCCACCGTAACACGTCGTCTTTCTCCTCTATGACGAGGGAAGGTTCCACTAGCCACGTGGCAACCTTAGGTTTAGCACTGAGCCAACCCCCTAACAAATGTCTCTACAACCCTGTTGTAATCCCCCGATTTTGGGTGCTTTTGAGAATAAGGATCATCAGCTGCTGGACGTAGGGCACCGATTAGCCCAAATCAGGATAAACTGTAGCGTCCTCTCTATGACTCTTGTGTTCTTGAGTCCACCCGAGTCACCGGAGACACGTACTCTAACACCGACTCGAACAACATGCTTGCCACGGTTCCGACCCTACGACAGCTGGCGTGCTAGGTAGGGGCAGCGTCAAGTGTGATTCTAGCTCTACGGTGGCTGGAGCCACCCACCTCGTCGCCGGAGCAAGCGGCACCGCCCCAGATGGCAGTGTCCGCTTCCCTGGCGAGTTCTCCATCACGGCTGGCGCCTTCGCTCTAGGCCAGGTTCTCAACTTTGGGATCTTGGCCTACGTCGCCGACTGCTACGATGAGCTTCGTCCACTCCATGGGGCTACACCAGCAGGCACCGAGCCCCAACGTCGCCCACTCTGCCAGGACTTCTAGGAGCAGATCTCGAGGTCCTGGCCCGATAGATGTGGCGCATTATGGGCCCAAACTCCACCGTATCGGACCGCTGCCAAATGTTCTACATGCTGGCCAACATCCACCATCAGATCGCCACCAGTGAGGTGCTCCCACCACCTGACCACTTTTGATACTACCTCCCAGACCTGCATATTGGGATCCAGAATGCGGAGGTGTCCTTCTAGATGGAGATGGAGCACCTCATCAGTCGCAAGGTGCCACGAAGCACCATTCTCTCCGACGCGACGGGGACCAACGTCCCATCATTGCGTGCCTTCCTCAAGATCCTTTCGAAGAATGACTCAGAGTATGACTCTGACGACATCGGCTACCATGCCCCTCCACGTATGTTCTAGCACATCGACAGCGAGGTTCTTCCTAAGGAGGCGCTCGGTCTTACACCGCCGGACCAGAGTCCCCACAGCCGCGTGGCCTACCTTCAGGAGAAGGCAGACCACTTGCGAGCTCAACAAGTGGACTTGGAGGCCACCGAGGCAGAGCTCAAGCGCCAAAGGCAGGACTTTGCGTGGCAGCAAGTCGCGCACCCACTCGGCGATGATGACGATGCTCACACGGGGGCTCCCAACGGCCTCTGGTTCCCCCGCGCAGCGTACAACATGGCAGCCACCACCTGCTGCCTGGAAGACATCTCCAACACGCTGTACCCAAAGACCAATGAGCGGCTGAATGAGGCGAAGCTCGGCATCCCGGCGCAGCACCGTGCTCTCCCGGCCATCCCAGATGACGGCTACTCCCAACGGGGACCGCTCCGACGCTCGTGCCCCACAGGCAGGGGGAAGCAACGGCGACACCTCCAACAATAGCTCTGACTGGTCATAGACTCAGGGTGCCAAGCCCCAGCAGGAGTGAAGGTGTGACCTTTCTCCTCGGCGTCCCCCCATGAGCCAATAGTTCAGCGATGACCGCGACATCTGCGACACCATCGAGGCCAGACGCCATGCTCAGGCGCAGTACCATACCCCTGAGTGGCGGGGCAGGTGCGCCGCCCCAGATCACTTCGGCCCCCTAGTGTTAGGGACAGCGATCCGGGTGGCTCCCTACCCTAAGCGTTTCTGGCCACCGATGCACATCTCCAAGTAAAACGGTGAGACCAACCTGGATCACTGGCTAGAGGACTACCACATCGCCATGAAGGCCAAGGGGTCAGACGATGACTTCGCCATTCAGTACCTTCCTCTGCTTCTGTCAAGTTCGACCAGAGCTTGGCTCGAATAGCTCGAGCCTAGCAGCATCCACTGCTGGCGCGATCACCATTCGGTTTTCATCGGCCACTTTCAAAGTACGTACACTCGGCCGGGGAACTCATGGGATCTCCGCAACTATAGGCAGAGGCCCAACGAAACCCTCTAGGAGTACATCCAGCGACGCCGACATCATCAATGCCTTCATCTGCGGCATGACCTGCGAGGCACTCATCAACACGCTCGGCTGCGAGACCCCGCGCACGACGCGGGAGCTCCTGGATGTCGCCACCCAATACGCCACCGGCGAGGAGGCGGTCCAGGCCAACTTCAGTGCAAGGCCAAGGTCGTCAGTCACCTCAGCAGAGGCGACAGCATCAACAACCCTGCCTCATCCTAGCGACGCCACGACAGGAGGAACAAGGACCGAAAGCACTGCGGGAAGGAGATGGTGGTCGTGGCCGACCGCGCAACCAGACCTCAACCTCGCGGGCGAGGTGCATGCCCGGAACACTTCGTGAAGGCACTCAAGGCCCCCTGCCTGTTCCACGGGGGGCAAGCAAAGCACCTCCTCAAAGACTACGCCACCATGAAGGGCTACATGCGTAGCACCCTCGGCCAATAGGGCAAGGCCCAGAAGCCTGTCCTGAAGGCCAGCGACCTGGCAGGAGGTGCCCAAGAGGACAGGAGGTGAACGCCGACCAAGAGGACAGTTCCTAGAGGCCGAGTGCTGCCTCATGATCTTTGGGGGGCTCCCAGGCCTACGAATCCCGCCGGCAGCGCCGCATCACTGAACAGGAGGTGAACGCCGACCATACCCTGACCGCTCTGCTGTGGTTCCAATGGTCTCAGACAGCCATCACCTTTGACCAGGAAGACCACCCCGACAGCATCCCTCATCCAAGGCGCTACCCGCTCGTGGTCAGCCCGATCTTGGGCACCACAAGCCTCACCAAGGTGCTGATAGACGGGGGCAGCGGCCTCAACATACTCTATGCCATCACCCTTGATAAGATGGGTATCCCCCGCAGCAACCTGTGCCCCAGCAGGGCGCCATTCTATAGGATCATGCCGGGAAGGAAGCCATGCCCCTCGGACACATCTGGCTCAACGTCACCTTCGGCCAGCCAGACAACTTCCGCAAGGAGCCACTCACCTTCGAGGTAGTTGACTTCCCTAGCATCTACCACGCCCTGCTCAGTCAACCGTGCTTCACCAAGTTCATGACCAACTCCAACTATGCCTCCCTGAAGCTCAAGATGCCTAGCCCGACGGGGGCCATCACCATCGAGGGTAGCTTCGAGCAAGCCTACTACTACGAGCAAGACTGCGTCACCCAAACTACCGCACTCATTGCCCCCTGTGATCCCAATGGCTCTGGCCACGACGCAAGAAGGGCGCCACTGGTGGAAGCAGCCAAGGCAGTAGCGGCGCTCGATCGACCAAGCATCGGCAAGGCGAACAAGGTTACTGGCGGTAGTGGTGGCCCAGCTGGCCCCTCCATCTAGACGCTCGGCCCCCCATAAGGGGTTCACTCGATCAAGGTGAGTTTTGACCTTTCCCCATGAGGGAAGGCTAACGTTGAGCCATTCGCCCAGAAGCATCGTCTCTCGAGCCATGGTTCGCCTACCGACCTCCATCGCCGGCCTACCTCTCCAACAACAAAAACCAAGATAAGTGCTGTCCTCCTGACCCTCATGCTTCGCTTGTCTCTATAATTGTCTCATTTATCCTGAGTCGCCCTAGCGATAGCTCGGCTACACCAGAGGATCGACTGAGCTAACCACCTGCTGACGTTTTTGAAGGAGAACTACCGTAGAAGGCCCCCGAGTGAGGCGGGAACAGGACGGATGGAGCGAGAGGACCGGGCAAGGGATTAGCAAGGCCCTAACGGAGTGGCCTCGACCGTTGCATTACTAGCTATGTCATCTTTCCCTTCTCTTGTGTCCATTTCGTTTTCTTTGTAGGTACTTGCCTGTCTCCCGATCCTTCATTGGATCAGGCCACACCACCGCATGATGGTCTGAGGGCCCCCTAGAAGGGGCATTGCCGAGGGATCTAAGGCCGGCCCACTGGGCTTCAAGGCCACCCGAAGCACCTAAAGTGTGAGGGACGTTCAGGAGACGAGCCCACGTGGCTATATCTAGGGCACCCAGAAGCGTCCTGACCGTCTGGATGAACGATGTCCAAGTACTGACTCAGAGCCACTCGTGGTGACCCAACGAGGGAGGCAGCGAGCCCTGGAGCACCGATAGATGGGCTCGGGAACTATACGAGTGGCTTGGTTGGGAAGTCGAGGATCTCCCCTCTAGAGGAAATGACCAGGGCATGGAATGACCATAAAGTCGGGGTTCTCATAGACTTACCCGCTAGCAACACGGGCTCGGCGATCTTGGCCACTAAGGCCATCATCGTACCAGCCCATCCCAATGAGGGGCCAAGCCTCTAAGCATGACCCAAGAGCAAATGGGATTACAAACGAAAGTATTTTCATTTCATTAATTGGGAATGACCCGATTACAATACGGCGGCAAAAACCACAGGTTGCGCCTAACCTCTAGGTTGCGGCCCTGTGACATTCTTGGCTCGGGCCAGGACAGCCATCCTCGGGGCTCCGCTCCGAGGCATGAGGGCGGGCGACAATGATCATCACTCCACAATCAAGGTCAGGCTCTTCTTCGCCATCACCGGGTCGAAGGGGCAGCGACTGACGTGTCGTGACCCCCTCCCTCATCGAAGGGTGTAAGAATGCGACAGACGCCTCTAGAATCATGTTGTTGCCCCTCCTTCACTGGAGTCCTTCCACCCTCGAAGAAGCAATCGCCCGGTGGACCAAGACAGGCTCACCCAGAGGGAAGCGTCATACTTCATCATCGCCATCGTCGCCAAAGAAGATAGATCTGAGAAGAAGAGAAGGAGCTAGAGGAAGGGATTGAAGACGTTGCATCCCCTAGGGCTCCCCTTATAGCCTAGTCGATGCGCTGTGCGCTGCTCCAAGCCCTCTGATCAGCCATCAATGGCTTGAAGGGGCCCTGGGGAACCGGGCGGGCGTCTCCTCAATCACCACAGCACGCCCCTAGGCGGTTTGAATGATGATGGCCGTGCAATAAAGGCAGAGTCTGGGAACTGCTAACAATGAGTCAAGTCCTTGCTCCACTTTCCACCATGCGCGCCGCCCACTCCGCGCACACCTCCTCGCAGGACTCGAGGGGATCTGACTCCCCTTGGGCCCACCGGCTACCATCAACGGGGTGGATCCACATGCACCAAGTGTCACGGCTCCCCCCCCGTGCCAGATCTTCTCCATGTGTCCCCGATGTCCCATCTCCTAGACGAAGGCGGATGGCATAGGGGTGCATGCCTTAACTCATCCACTAGGCACGATGGCCCAGACACCATCAACTGCCTACGCAAGATGTCAGTGGAAGGGACGTGCCTAGAAGCCGCCACTCCCGCTGGTAGGGAGGCCCCACATTGGCCTCGGGGGCTGCACCATCTCCCCAGACGGAGCAACCCAACCCCCCGAACGATGGCCGCTCGGGTGGAGCATCAGCAAAAAACCAACCAACTCCCTGGAGTTGGGTCAGGAGCCGCTAAGCAGTGGGCCCAACAAGGGCCTCTATCCAGGGCTTGGTGCGCTCCCCTCACCCTGATCTATGGCCATAGGAGGTTGGCCCCAAAAGGCCTCAGAAAGGCGTTGCGCTCCGAATGATCAATTGGCCCCAAGCCAGAGCCCAGACGCTCTTGATCACCCGACCCACGGTAGGCCCTAGTCAAAAAGGAGGGCGCCCCCGGGCCTTAGGATGGTAACTCCTAGACGAGTTGACTGAGCCCTCGCTCGACTCAAAGACCTGTGCGACATAGACTCACAAAGGGGTTAGCACCATCATCGCCTAGCCTCGATAGCCGAGCAACACCCATCACATGGGAGAAGAAGGCCCCAAGCAGGGCACGTCACCCTTGTCAGCGGAAGCCATCCCCACCAAGGAGGGTTTGGTCACTAGAAAATCAAATTCAGCACTTCGTCGTTGTTGACGGTACTGAACAACCATTATAAACCATCAATTAAACATGTATAAGAGAATAAATGTAAAAACCATTATAAACCGTCAATTAAACAACCATTATAATCCTGTCTATAGCCGCACATAGGACGCTGTTGAGAAGGAAAGCATCCTCTGCTAGTGTCTTTCCCTAGTAATGTGCCTAGTTCAACAATAGAAGACATAAGCTTACCCAAGTCAGAACTAGAGAACCTCAGTTGTCCTCTCTACACTCATGTTTATCCTAACCTTATTGCTACTCCTAGATAAATTAACCCTTAACCTATTTGCTACCCCTCGTTAAGTTATACCGTAGTTAGTCTCACATGTTTCCCTGTGGATACGATACTTGGATTACTTCTGGGTGAAAACTACAGTGGTATCCGTGCGCTTGCGGATTTATCTGTGTGCGTTAAATATACCAACAGTCGCCATCACGCCAACTGAGGCCACGAAGGGCTCAGGGGCTCCTGACGAGATCCTAACATATGGGTATGTTAAGCCTCGGGTCCAATGGTTTCTAAACGGAGAAGACCCCCCACCCCCGACCGACCCCTCCAGGATCGCCTAGGGGCTCGGGGGCTATACCCATCGATTACGCTTGCGCGCACCCTCTGAGAAGAAACCCGGCCGAGCCTAACTCCGCCGCGACCTCCGCCTAGGGCTCGAGGGCTTGCCCGAGCCCCTAGACTCCCGATCTACGCTGACACTCCGGTCTGGCCCTTGGCTCCTACTCGGCAAACAACACTAGCCAAGGCCTGGGCACAAGAAGATAAGCCCCAAGCTACCGAGGCTCGGGGGCTCCCCCGCGCTGCCCCTTGGGCATGGCATTGCTAGCCACTTTCCTGACAAGGTCACGCACGTGGCATGACACAAGAAGACAAAGCTTCCCAGTAGCCTCTAGAGGCTCGGGGGATCTCGAGCCCGTGCGTCAGCCCTTGGAGCTAACCTCCTTCACCGCCAAGAAGACTCTAGAAGGTTCAACTGGGGGAGGCCGGTCGAAACCGACACAGCCTGACACGCAGAGTATCAGAACAGAGCAGCCGGACGACGCCCAAGGCTTCTTTGGCTCCATGACACCGCCATAATCCATAGCGCATCGCTTTAAGGCCTTCCTAGACTCCAGCGCATGTAGACTATAGACTACTAACCCAAACCGCCATGTACCCAACCTATCTCGTTATATAAGGGATAAGGTCAAACCTAGGAGGGGGACGATCACCAGAACTTAGATCATTCCATTCCATTCCTTGGCCTCTGCTCAGCACTGAGAGCCAGTCAACCCGTAGAGGGGCAACGAGAGCTCATCCACCGCATCCCGTCGTCTTCCTCCTCTCCGACGATGGAAAGGCTCCACCGGCGGTGAGGCAGCCTTAGGATTAGCACCGAGCTAACCCCCTACCAAATCTCTCTACAACCCTGTTGTAACCCCCTAATTTTAGGTGCTTTTGAGTATAAGGATCATCAGCTGCTGGACGTAGGGCACCGATTGGCCAGAACCAGGATAAACCGTTGCATTCTTTCTGTGATTCTTGTGTTCTTGAGTCCACCCGAGCCATCGGAGACCCATACTCTGACACTAACTCGAACAACATACTTGCCGCGTTTCCGACCCCACGATAATAACCTATGAACTTCTAATCACCACGATCATAAAAACATGCTTACTAATCTAATTTAAGCGTGGGATCTAAGATTAGACAAGTGGGATCTAAGATTAGACATAGAATTAGAAGACTCACATAACATGGACCATATAAACTTGTAAAGAATAATACAATATTTTAACTATGAACCATATCATGAATCTCCACCAAGATCATACCTTAGATTAACTTAGACAAGAATCAAGAACTTTGCATTCGAGCTCTTTCAGAAGCTCTCCAACTAGCAACCATTCATGAGACAACGTCCACATCTACTTTGTCTAGATCAACCACGCATGAGGGTTATTCTCTCACATGCATCAAACAAGAGGGCCGGGGTTGGGGGGCACATTGGAGAAGGAATCTGCTCGAAGATGAAAGCATTAATTGCCTAGCGCTCTTGAGTGAAGATTTGAAGGCGTTGCAACATGAATGTTCGCGACGCCTACTATGCTTACTTCCACTATATCGACCACTTCGACGAAGGCAAATCCATGAAGTGAAGTTGTGAAGAGATCAAGGCCATGCGAAGGGTTAAGCTGCTAAAAGTGAAACAGTTAAGGCTCTAGCGAAGGTTTCTTCCAAGACCAATCTAACACAAAAGCATCCCCAATCAATCTTTGTATATACAAAAGTTGTGGGTGTGCTCTTTTCTCCATACCCTTTTTCCGCAAGATTTTAATATAATCTCCATGTGTATTTTTCATATGCCACCACTATAATTTAAACTTAAATAGTTGTAAACCATATAAATAGACTGTATTTAGTTTCGTGATTTCAAATGAGGCAATTTAAATTTAAATTTGTTCAAACATAAAATTCATATAGGCATATAGAAATTTTCTATCACACCGCATAGCAATAAATTATGATAAAACTACAATGGATCATAACAACTAGTGCCATGAAATGCACAAAAATGCTCGACAAGATCATCTTTGTGGGCATGAAAGTGATTAGCAATCCTTTTCCATTAAGCCTTTCTTGGCTGCTCATTGGCAGTGATAAAATATGTGCTAATGCTCATTCATGAGATGTACAACTGAATGTCCTCCAGATAAGTACAGTTTTTTTTTTGCCCTCTTGAATGCCTTAGCACTACTAGGTTGTGTATTAGGTTGGGTGCCAAAGGTTTCATACGGAGGCAGAGATGGAGGGCTATAGGCGGCAATGTGGCGGGAGGGAGTGGGGGACAGGGGTGCAGGAAAAAAGAATGGTGCCAGATGGAGTTGCCCGTAAAAAAATATAGAGTAGGGAGCTTCGTATACATACCTGGGGTTGAGGTGGGAGATTTGAGGGCATCCATAAAGTACAGACTCGAGTTGAGACCCTGTTGGACTAAGTTTCTTTTATTCAGCCCTAAAAAGTAGAGTAGGGGTTGTGTTTAAACTCATTTGTTGGAGATGCTCTAATACACAATTGCTTGGATTTATGTGTCAGAAAATAAAAAAAATCTAGGCATACATGTGCGGGGCATCTATATTTGACAAAGTTCACCCCTTGATGATTTATGGAATATGATCAATTTGTCATATACAGGCGTCCTTAATCATCACGTGGACGCCTGTAATAAGTATCAACACATGGATTTCTCTTTCTCATTTTACTTCTTTTTTTGTACCACCACACCTACCCGTCGGCCACCGCAACACCCAGCCTCTGCCGCTGCCGACATCCGCGCCGCATCACCCACGTTTGCCGCTCTAGCTCGCCCTCCTCTAACCCCAATCGAAGAGGAAAGCTCGGCCGAATCGCCCCTGCTGCCGATTTCAGCCCGGTTGTCTCCCACCATCCATTCCGCGGCACCCCACTGTCTCGCTCGCCACCCCTTCAACCACCACCTCCACCGGGCCGACCATAGTCCGAGACTCCATCCGCCTTCTAAGATTGCAGGCCATTAGAGACTTTCTCAAAG